CGGCGCGGCCCCGAGTGCGCAGCGCGCCGTCGCCGGCGTCGTGGTCGCGCCCTCCTGCGCCTCGCGGTGCCCTCCCGATGCCCGCTCTGTCCCCTGGTACCGCCTGCTTTGCTGGGTGTTTGCGCTTCCCGAGCCGCGTCTCGGCGCTGTGTCGCACGGCGCGTCCGTGTTCTGCAGAGCGCCCCGCCTCGCGTCGCCCTGACTGGGTCCCAGGATTTCGGGGGGGTGAACGCCTTCTCCTTGGCACCCGGGCGCTCGGTCCGCAGCTGCCCGGGACGCAGCTGCCCGGTGTCAGTCCCGGGAGACGCTGCTGAGCTCTGCCCTGCTGGCCGGCGCTGGTGCCCCGCGGGGCACATGACGGGAGGCGTCAGAGGCTCAGGCTGCCCGGCCCAGCCCGTGGCACGAGCACCTCTGGTTTCAGTGACCTGCTGGACGGGGACGCGTGAGTCCGCAGGGCTCCCGTGTTGGCGGGAACCCTCCGAGTGGAGCCCTCTCCTCCTGCAGAGGAGGGAAGAGGTGACCGGGGTTCCAAGCCTGCGTCCGGACTCATGGGTCAGGCTGTGTGTTTTGTTTTGCGAGACTTCTCTTCATGTGACCGCCACCCTGCCCCAGCTCCGGGGCACAGGGCCCCCAAGTGTAACTCCCAACCCGGGGGACGTCCCACATACCAGTGCGGGTTCCCCCAAATCAGAGAATGAATCCTAAGGGGTCAGAGGCCCAGTAGGAACTGTTTCCTGAGAGGTACAGCTCTGGGAGGCAGGAGGGACGAGTGGGTTGCCTTGGGCCCCGCTTTCCAGAGGAAGTTCTATAGAGCATGTCGTGAGGTGGGTACAACATGGGACAAAATTATGATCCACCAAAAGTGCAGCCGCTTAGGTAATACTGCTTCAGGGGGAAGCAGATCATGTAGAAAGTGCACGGAAAGAACAAAGACCCTTTATTGGAAGAGATAAGTCAGGAGGGCCTGGTCACCCCCCTTGGTGACTGATGTCTAGACTTTACTGGACCGAGTGGTACCCATTAGAGTTTCTTGCCTATCCCCTGGGGAGGCAGGTAGGCCTGGTCTCTGTCTTTGGCTTGAGGCCTGGCCTTCAGCGAATGTGCGCCCAGCCCCAGCTGTGGTATGTTCTCACTGCGGGCACTGACTCCCTCGAGGGCCCAGCCCTGACTGTAGTTCTTTCTAATTGAGCTGTCTCTAATTCCAGGACTTCATTGACGGCTTCCTCTCGGCCTGGCCTTGGCCTGCTCCTGTTGTGCTTGTGTTAAACCTAGGTGGCAGAGGGCTACGCCCCAGGCGGCTTCACCTGAGCAGACTGCGCTTTGCTGGTGTATTTAGTGCACAGAAACTGACGATATAAACAAGTAACCCCCTCCCTTTACAGCAACTGTGGGCCCACCATCGTCTGAGCAATGGGTCAGCGGGTTCTTCAGGGTAACGTCTTCCTTTGACTTGGTGATCTCGTATCATTTTGAACATTTATCTAGATGTGTTGTGCTCACACACATTTCTGGGAATCCTTTTAAGGATTTCCTGTAGAATCAGAAAGCAATTGTGGTGTAAATAACTTTGAATCAGGGAACCTGGATGAGCGTGTGCCACAGGCTCTGCCACCAGCAAGGTCTGTGGCCTTAGAAACACCTACACGTGGGCATGCCCATGTAGGCCGAGTATGCACACAGCATTCATACACTGTGTTAGGAGTGGAGCTGAGGCCTGTGCAGGTTTATTGTTCGTGGAGCTCGGGTTAAGAACCCGCCAGGGCTTTGCTGTTTGCTTCTATTTTAAGATACTCTCCAGTGAATCTAAGTAATTACCCTCCTTCCTGTGGCACACAGGGAGTAGCAGCTGTACTGGAGGCTGGAGCCACTGGTTCTGTGCCAGCTTGCATTACTGACTCATCCCACAGCCTCGAGGAAGCCCTGGGATCCACCTTGGCCTGAATAGCATCAGGTGTAAATTAGAGTGCTTGTTGAAGGCCTGCGCTGGTAGACAGACCTGAGACGCTTTCCAGATGCTGGATGTGCAGAGGCCGCCGGAGGGAACACCCTGGGTGCGGTTCAGGTCCCGAGTTACACAAATCTAACTTGTTCATAATTCCACCTTCTTTGTGTTCACAGCATGCTCTGTGCGGGTGTGAGCGCCTGTTTCCATGTGAGACAGGATATTCAACTGAGAGTGCGTACGGGCAGGCTGGCCTATGGGGGCAGACTCCTGACTTCAGATCGCAGCTCTGCTATTTCTGATGTCTGGGACTTGGACTGATCTGTGTGTGCTGGATACATGTGAACTATTACTTGGAAATGGGAAGTTCAGTTTCAAATTCAAGGTGTGGAGTTATAGAATGTCTTACTTACTTCCCTGTTATTGAGATGTAATACCTGACACCCTCAGCTCTAAGGAGGAGAGGTTTATTTTGGTTCACAGTTTGTAGAAGTCTCAGTCCATAGCCATGTGGCTCCAAGGCAGGGCAGCATGGCAGAGGAGAAACAGCTTAGGGTGATGACAGAGGACCTCCCAGTGATATAGGAGGAAAATTGTAACTCCCAACCCACTAGATGTTGCATACCAAGTATGGGTTCTCCAAATTGAAGAATGAGTTCTAAGGAATAACAGAGGTTAAGAGTAGACAAATTCATTGGGGAGCAGAAATAGCTCCCTGAGAGATGGGTGGAGTCTTGAGTAGTTTGCCGATGAGCTTCTCAAAGGAAGTTTTGTAGGGCAAACTCATGAGGTGGGTACAATATGCTGAACTGGGTATAATGTGGGACAAAACTATGATCAACCAATAATATTCCAAGTTGTGTATAGCCATGTAGGTAATGTCCGTCCAGCAGGGAAGCAAGTCACGTAGCAAGTGTACACGGAAAGAACAAGGACCTTTCTTGGAAGAGATGAGTCAGGAGGTCATGGTCACCCACCCCAATGACTGATGTCTATCTGGACTTCATGGGACCAGGTGATACCAATTATAGTATATTGCTTATCCCTTGGGGAGGCATGTAGACCTGGTCGTTCTATCTTTACTTTCAGTCCTGGCCTTCAGTAGAGCTGCCTCCCACCACAGGTGTAATGTATTCTCATGTGCTCCAGCTCCCGAAAGGGCCTAGCCCCATCTGACTGCCTATAATATTTCTACCTAACTTAGCTGTATCTAATAGTGTGACAGCAGGAAGCAGAGAGGGATCAAGGGAGGAAGAGGGAGACAGACCCTCCAGGCCACGCCCCCAGTGATCTCCTCCCACCGGGCTTCACCTCCCAATGTCACATTTATCTATAAACCCATCAACGGACAAATCCACTCTCATGTGCCAGTGGAGTTTCACTCCCTCATGATCCAGTCACCCCCCCAAAAGCCCTCTCTATGAGCACGTGAGGCTTTGGTGGGACATCTAGATACAAACCATAGCACAAGGTAATAACAGTGACACTAATGTGGAGCTTGCTAGGTATGTAACCCTGCTAGGACCTTCTTTTCCCTTACCAAGTCATTTAACCCTTGCAGTAGGCAATATTATTATCTCCATGTTGTAGATGAAGGAGGCCAACATCTCACAGCCAGATTAGAAGGTAGCAGAGCTCCCATTGGACGTCAGGCAGTCTTCACTTCCAATCACCTTATCTCTTTCAGGTGCTGCTTACTACACTTTTGCAGCCTGCAAAATACAATCACGTGTTTACATGAAAATAACTCGCACGGTACCCTATATTTATACTTCAGCTTCCAGGATGATCCTGAGCTATTTGTCATCTCTACTTTGTGTGCTGGACACAAAGCTGGAAATAAAAGTTAGGGTACTTTCTGAATTGTGGAATAAAATAAGTTACTCTTGGCAGTGAATGCCATGGTGACTAAGAACTGAGTAATTGACTCTGATGACTTCTTTATGTCTGCTCCCATCTGTGTATTTCGTCTACCACTTCTTGGGTGTGAACTTGTATTATGAAATTATAACAACATTGGCAAAGAACAGCCAGAAAGATAACTCGGTTTTCCACCTTAACAAATAGATCCTTTTCACTTCATTTTCCCAGCTGTGGGTTTTTTTAAGGTTTATCATCTTTGCATAGAGAGACGTTTGCACAGTACTTGTTCTTTCTGGTATGATACATGCTGCTGTGTCGTGTCTGACATAAAGTTACATAGTGAATTTAAAAACCTGTGTATGTGTGTTAGCAGTTTATTTTGAAGGTCATTTAAAAAAAGTACAGAATATGCTACTTAAATAAGTATAGTGATGAACTCAAAATAAAGGAACTGTGTTCTCTTTTGCAACCCTGGAAGTTAGTTCTGTTTTCCTAAAGCTGCATATACATTTCTAAAGGGGGGAAATTACAGTGATTAAATCTGCCTTTTAATCATGTAAACCTACAAGACAGCAGAAAATATCTCAGTGTTAAAACCAGTTTAAAAAGTATATATGAGATGGCATCAAAATCACTGAACTGATATGTAAGTTATATATAAGCAAACTCGGAGGTCCCTGCACAGAGGGGCGGCTTTGTGCATACTTTGGCAGATTTCCAAACTGATCCAGCTTTAGTTTGTCAACTTTAAATCAGAGCCGTGCTTCCGGGGTCATAGAGTACTTCTGAGAATGAAATGATGCACTATATTTAAACTGCTTATCACAGCGCCCACACGTAATAAATACTTAATAAAGAGAAGTATGACCGCAACTGTTTGTTTTAGTATTTCCTCCAATGAAGAAACCTTTCCTAAGATGATTAATAAGCAAGGATGCTATCGAATGGTTTTGGCTTCTCCCTGAAAAGCCACTGGAAACATTCAACAGCTGCTTCCTGTAATGTTCTACATGCTTTGTGGGAGTGCATGCGGGAAAGTTTACGTCTGTTGAATAGCTTTGAAGAACCTTGGGGAATCCCTATTTTTGGCCTATAGCTATTGTTAAAGATATATGTTCTTTCTGAGGGGTGAAGTTATATAAAAAATGAACTGAGATACTCATTTACTGGGTTCTGCAGTCTTTGTATAATTTGATAACATTGTATTTTCATATCATTTTTTCTAAAAGAGGAACGTAAATAATTTCCCAAACTTTCAATTCTGCATGGAGATGTGTTCTAAGACACAGTATGGTATCGCTGACCTTTCAGAAGGATGAGCGTGTGTTTCAGTATGAGAAGACATCTTTGTTATAGTCTGTGTTCAGCAGTCCTGCGAATACGGAATGCATCAGCTCCGACCCACATCCATCCTGTATTCTTCCTGTTCTTTGCGTTTTCGTTTTTAATGAGGGAGGGTTGTGTTTAACTGCGCTGAGCAGGCACATGTAAAGTATTAAGGATTTCCTACCTGGAAGGGAAGAACGCTGTCTCTAGTCATACTGTAAATATCGACATGGGAATTCCAAAGGAGAAGTAGATTTATTGACTTTTTAAATAATCAACAGGACAGTTTTGTTGTTTTAAAATTTTTTTGTGAGTCCGTGTGTGCAGTCCATAGTAATTACTTTCATAGCAGGGAGTCGCTGCGCGCGCACGACACACCCTCCTCTTTTTCTCACCTCCTGCCTGCCTTCCTCCTCCCTGTCTCCATGTTTTAGTCCCCTCCCCATCTGCAAAGGTCTCTCCCCCCATTTCCCCATTACCCATCTTGTCTTGTGTTTTGCTCTTTTTTATTTATGCTTTGGGTTTCTCATAGGAGAGACCATGGGATATTTGAGCTTGTGCATCTGATTTTGCTTAACATTATGGCCTCGGGGCAACTGTTTTCTTACAAAAGACTCAAATGCGTCCTTCTTTATGCAGAGCAGGGCTCTGTTGTGTCTAACTGCCTCATGTTCTTTATCCCCTCGTCTTCCACAGGACAGTTTTGGCATGTGACTGACTTGCACTTAGACCCTACTTACCACATCACAGATGACCACACCAAAGTGTGCTCTTCGTCCAAAGGCGCCAATGCCTCCAATCCGGGCCCTTTCGGGGATGTCCTGTGTGATGCTCCATATCAACTTATTTTGTCAGCATTTGACTTTATTAAGAATTCAGGGGAAGAAGCATCTTTCATGATATGGACAGGGTAAGGCATTCTGGAAACAGCTTTGATTATTTAGCATTTATCCACAGTGCCCTAAGCGTCCTTCGAATGCTGGATTCTATGAGAAGAGTGATTGTGTTTCAAGAATTACTTGGTTAAAAAATACTAGACCAGTTTTCAAGGTCCTGTTTTTTTCTTTTTCTTTCTTTTTTTTTTTTTTTTTGGTAACGCAGACTTTAAAAATTTGCCATGTTAATTCTGAGATGATTCCATTAATAGTGCTCTTGCACAGATGTCTTGATGTATTGATTAATGTGATAACTCATCTTGATTAAAGGATCAGGGACAAAAGGTGATGGGGATTGGCTTGAGATGTAAACTGTCATTTTCTGGTGGGCTCATTAACTAGTTCCACCCCCCACGAGGGAGGGAAGATGCTTTTATTTTCAGTTCCTGGAGTAATGATCACGGGTCTTTGTCGGAGTGTTTGCTTCATGCTGTGTGTTCTTTACCTAGTTTGTACTTCGCAGGTGGATCTTAACAACAAGTATTACTGTTATTATTGCTCTCCCTTTACAGGAGGCACTGAGCACCTAAATAACTAGTCCAAGAGTACACAGCTAGGAATAGCTAAACTAGGACTGGAATCCAATCCTTTGGCTTAGAATCTCTGCTTCACTAATACAGTAAATTTTTGTTATACATAAATCTTTTAACAGACAATGAAATAGACTGGGATTCCCAGTGTATTTTTTGAATTGCAGTTTTTTGAGATAAGGTCTCACGATGTTGCCTAGGTTGGTCTCGAACTCCTGGGCCCGAATAATTCTCCTGCCTCAGTCTCCTGAGTGGCTGAGGCCAGAGGCACAAGCTTCTGTGCCCCATTGTTCCTCTACTCTAACTGCAGTTTGCTACTGTAAGGTGCAGACATGCAGTGCTAGGTGCATCAGGGCCTAAGCCCAGTGGCTCTTTCTAAAAACGGACTTTGCTTTTGACGATTCCGTCTTCTTTTCAGGGATAGCCCACCTCACGTCCCTGTCCCCGAGCTCTCCACAGACAGCGTTATAAAGGTGATCGCGAACATGACGGCGACCATCCGGAGTTTCTTCCCACACCTCCAGGTGTTCCCTACACTGGGCAATCATGACTACTGGCCACAGGTAGGTTTGACGGCACCTTCCGGAAGTAGCTAGAGACTTGTGCCCCTGAGTGGCGTCAAAGTGTCACAGTAACTAAGTCAGAGGTAGCATGCGGTCTTGTGTAGGTAGAATATACTCTTAAGGATAAGCATTGACAACAGAAAGACAAATGCCCTGGGGGTTTTAGAAGCATATTTGAAATCATAATAACAAGTCATGTCAGTGAGTTTTCAGAAGCAAATTGTTCACCATAGTTAATGCCTGTTTTTCCAAGGCGTGGTAAACTGGCTTTTGATTCCAATTTGGCCCATTGCCTGTGATTGTAAATAAAGTTCCGTCGGAAGACACGGCGTTTCTGTTCCGTGGCTGCATTTGTGCTGTATTAGCAGAGTCAGAGCAGTTGCCATGAAACCAGATGGTCTGATGGATATACCCCCGCTTTTGTTTACAGACAAGTTTGCTTCCCCCTGTCTGGACCAGCCCTTCCCGAAATGCTGAGTTGCCTGCCCAGTGCTCACAGACATGCAGTGGCAGGTCTCATGAGCTGGACCTTTACGTTCCAGTCTTGTGTTCGGTTAGAGCAACACCCTTCCACGTACCCTGAGAAGTGTGACACTCCCACATCCGCCCTGTACCCCAGCGGCAGGGACGCATGGACACACAGCCTTTTCTGTGTAGGTGGCACGCGCCTTCCAGCCTGCGTCCGTGCTGGGCCGTCTCCTCTGCTTTGATGGCCTTTCTCATCACCTGGTGAAATCATTGTCAAAGACCCAGGTTCACTGTTCTCTTCGCTGTCCCCCTGACTTGAGCGCTCCTGCTTCTGTGCCCCAGGACCTCCGTGGTAGCACTGGTCCTGTGCTCTGTTACATTTGATTATGTTCTCTTCCCCCTCTTCCCTTCTAAGCTAAAACGTCCCTGAAGACTAAGTAGTCATGCTTGCATCTACAGATGCTTAATGTGATAGTCAGCGCCAAGGAATGTTTGAGTGAGTTATCCACGTAGCTTTAAAGTTTCAGCGGCGGGTTGTGTTGTCTGTGGCCAGGATCAGCTGCCCATAGCCACCAGTCAAGTATACGACGCAGTGGCCAACCTCTGGAAAGCCTGGCTGGAGGACGACGCTCTGAGTACTCTCAGGAAAGGTGAGTGAGAGGCTCGCTCAGGCCCCCTTCCTTCCTCGTACTGCGTGACTTTACTTCTCCAGTGTTGGCCGGGGCTTGCCGCTGTCAAGCGCCTCTGCACCCAGCTTTCCTGGAGTAGCTAGAGGACAGTGAGTAGTGACATCGCCTTGTGATCCGTGTCGTGAACCTGGTTGTCTGGTAGGGAGGCTTTTCCCTTCCCTTTCACTCTCGATCAAGATACTCCTCACCAAGCCCAAGCTGATGGTGAATTTGAATGTGAATAAAAGTGTGGGTTTTGAGTTGTAAAATTGATTGAACGTGCACTCCCCAAACCAGGCCAGCACGGCTTTACAGAGCAGACAGCGGGCAAAGGAAGAACAGTTAAGCTTTTAACACGGACCTGGGCAGCTTGAAAAGCACTGCAGAGTGGGTGCCTTTTCTGGGCGCTGTCTACAGCCCCCTTCTCCTGTGCCTCTGAGCCATTGACGGCAGACCCTGCGCTCGTGTGCGCTTACAGGGGGAGGCGGTCTGGTCACTGAGACGTCAGTGCGCTTGACGTTTTGAGACAGTTAAATTAGTGGCTGGACTTCTCTCCACTTCACATTCTTCTTTCACTCTTTTCCTTAAACCTTTGTCTCTTGCCACTACTTTGTCACGTTTTTGCTAACACTAAGCAGATCAGAGCATATATGAATTTGAGATTTGCTATCTAAGAAGTAGGCGGTGGTTCTGATTGGTCTAGAGAACTGTATCTGGTCCCACCCACCCGAGCCAGAAATGTACACGGGGCGCGTATGTACATGGAAGGACGAGCCGCAAGATACAGTCAGGATTCCCAAAGAGTCACGGTGGGTTTTAGAGAGGCTCCACTCAGTGCAGAGAGAGATGGGCAGCAGGCGCTGACCGGGGGTCCTGGCCCTGCAGAGCAGGCAGGTGAGTTTTCCAAGGGTGCCCCTTCCAATGACGTTCGCCGCCTTTCCAGTTAAACCCTGGAGTAAAGGATTAATGTTGAGAATTTGAAGGGCTTTCTGTTAAGTCTTCAAAGTAACGGCAGTTTTGAGCAAAGCTTCCCTGAAGGAAGGCCCTCCAACTTTGCCATCTTCTGCTACTCCAATGGTTGTTGTTTAGTACGGGACAGAAGGGCCAGCTTTTCAGAAGTAGCCCTGCCTCAACAGCGGAGCAAACACTCATGGGTATAGCAATGATGGCGAAGGAGGAAAATCTTAAAGAAGCAGCCATCTGTGGTGACGGAAGGCTAAGGCCAGGTGTGGATGGTGAGCGGCCCAGGATGTCAGGGGCCGGCTGTGAAAGTCCCAAGGCAGTGGACCCTTGAGTGCTCTTCACCGTGTGGTCAGAGGGGTTTGTCGGGTCTTGCTTTTCGCCTCTTCTGAGCAGGCTGCCGCAGCTCTGGTTGATCTGACGTTTCCTTCCTCAGTGTCTTCACTGAGATCCGTGTGTGAGCCTATTCTGTAGGCTCTGCCTTATCAACTCTCTAATCATCAAAGGGTTGATGTATGAATCCTTGTTTTAATATAAAATTCAGCCTCATTGCTTACTGCCCGAATATTTTATTATCTTTCCAGCTGAATATTGGGTACAGTTGTCATTATCTCAGTGTGTACACCACTGAAGTTGGCCCATTTTATTAAATGTTTGTTGAATCTCCTACTTATCTAAACTCTGAGAAATAAGTTGAATTTTCCCAACTATATTGTAAACCTTAAGAATTTGCTTTGACAGTGTCTGTCTGTGTGTATGTATGTGTTTTTAAATGTGCTATAAAATTCTTTTTATAGGAGGCTTTTATTCACAGAAAGTCCCAAGTAACCCAAACCTGAGGATCATCAGTCTAAACACAAACTTGTACTACGGCCCCAACGTTGTGACCCTGAACAAGACTGACCCGGCCAATCAGTTTCAATGGCTAGAAAATACCCTGAACAACTCTCAGCACAATAAAGAGAAGGTAGATCTCATAGACCAAAGCCATTTGTTTATTTGTTGAACTCTGGGTAGAATCATGTACTAAGAAGAGAAAAACAATAACATTTGAAGATCTAAAAAATTGTGACCAAGATCTCAGTTACCTTATGTCAGTGAAATTATAGTGTAAATGAATATAGTGACCTTCACAGTTTGTTAGTTTCATCTCTTCTTTCATAAGAGAAATGATATATTTGCTTATTAAATTTTAATTGATGCATTTTCAGTGGACACATTAATTTGAGACCATAATGTTATGTGAAATAAATCTGACACGTGAGCTTAAGTATCATGTAACTTCTCTTGTGTGAGAAACCCACCATCTAAATAATTTAAAACAAAGCACAGAGATAAACAATAGGAAACAGGGAGATCACTTTTTTGCAAATGGAAAGAAATTAGAGACGGAGGGAGGGAAGGGGAGGGGAACAAAAAGCATTAAGATGTGTTTCATGTACCAGCTTCTCCAGAGGAGTGTAAATATGCACTGTGAACACGTGCTAATAAAGACAACAGAACAAAACGAAAAGATCGTTAATGCATTTTCAGCCTCTGGTACCAGTGGTCACTTACCTATGACAGATGTTCATCCTCACGAGTCCGCCTCCTGCCCCGCCCAGGTGTATATCATCGCGCACGTGCCGGTGGGATACCTGCCCTACTCCAGCGGCATCACCGCTATTAGACAGTACTATAACGAGAAGCTGGTGGAGCTTTTCCGGAGGTACAGCGCTGTCATCGCAGGACAGTTCTATGGTCACACGCACAGGGACAGCATCATGGTTCTTTCTGACGGAGAAGGTAGGATGACATTCCGTTCGCAGCTCCCTGGTCCCAGAGGCTGGAGCAATGCCCTGACTATCTAGGGAATTCACGGTGCTGAAATTAAAGGCTTTAGCAAACTTGTCAGCTCTGGCCTTTTCAGAATGGCCTTCCTTTGCTGAATGACAAGTGTCCCACTCCTGATCTGTGGCCCGCAACCGGCCCCTTCAGCAGGAGTTCCTGGCCACACCAAGCTGGCACGGTACCTCCTGTTGTCCATGCAGAAGCCTCTGAACCCTTGGCTCGCTGCAGCCGTTCTGTAGATTCCTAGGGACTCGATGCAGTTGGTTATTTAGCTCTTGGGTTCCAGGTTGTCTTTATTGGACTTGTAGCTCGCCGAGTTTAACAAACAGCACATCTGGCCTAACCCTTCCAGTGTGTTCAGCTCATCCTCCGAGGTGCTTGTTCATCATTGCGGCCCATGTGGCAGTGACAGACAAGAAAATAGAAGTTCTGGCAAGAAATGGAGCTTGCAAAATAATAATTCTGTTTTGTAGTAAATAGGAAGCAATAAATATATTTTCTTCAGTAACTGGAGACCTTTTTGAAATATTTACGTATCATCTAGCGTGAATTGGCTTGGCAAAAATGACTACTTTTTACCATTTGATAATTTTTTTACACAGAAAAATATACTTTCTAATGAATCTGTGTATCATATGGTGATGCCTTAACCATGTTCCTATACGTACATTTTGGAATATTGTTTTTGGTAGCTGTGTAGAGCAAACCAGCCTTCGATTTGTGTGTGTGTGTATTTGTGATAGACGTGCGTTGTTTTTAATTAAATTTCAAAAATTTCAAATGTATATAAAAGCAGAGATAATGATACAATAAACCCATATGTCCTCATTATTCATATTCAATATCAGTATCAGGACTTTGCCACGTTGCCTTACCTGACATACATGTGTGGCATGTTTATGTATCATACATATATATCATATATCATACATATTATATCATACATATCATATCATACATATTATATCATACATATATACATCTGAAGCACTTATAAAAGTGAATCTCAAACATCACATCCGTCTTAGCGCTATGCCCTTTGTGTATTCTTTGTGACAGTATGTGAGTAATCTAAGCACACTGCATTTCCTTACCTAATGAAATCAGCAGTAATTCTGTGGTACTGATACTAGAAATTCTCCTCTGCTGTCAGACGGGTCTCTGGCATTGTTTCGAGTCAGTGTCCGTTGATGACCACACGTCATCTGGTTATGCCTGTTAACCTCTTATTCTGGAAGCTGTTCATGTTTTTAATGTAATTAAACTCAGTTTTAAAAAATATATATCTACATGTGTGTTTTCCAGGACGTCCAGTGAGTTCTTTGTTTGTGTCGCCTGCTATTACACCCGTGAGGAATGTTCTAGAGAAAGAGACCAACAACCCTGGCATCCGCCTCTTTCAGTACAAGCCTCGAGATTATACACTGTTGGTAAGCAGACATCGTTTTGGGGTTCACACCACATGCATGCACACCTTCGTGGTTTTCATGAGGCTGGCTGGAAGTTTCTCAGCATAACGGTGTGAACTGTGCTCTGTGCAGAACTCTCACAACACTGTCCTTTTGCTGGAAAGCCTGGTAGTGCTGTCTCAGTGTGGGCTGGTGAGGTTGACCTTTGGGGCCTTTTCTGACCCTCTGAGGACTTCACGCTGGTTTAGATGAGGCGCTCACCGGATGGCACCTTCCAGATGAACTAGATAGGCATTGGAAAGCTTTCCTAAGTCACAGCAATTAGTCTTCCCCAGAGAGTAACTCTCATCTGAAAGCACACTCTTGGGATGCAGTACCTAACATCGCAATTTCCTTCCTAAAATGCAAACCGAAATAGAACTGAACTCAATGAGCTGCTGTGAAAATTCCTCCAACAGATCTACGTATTGCATTTAGAAAAATGCTTGACCCATACTAGGTGCTTAGTCAATGTCTGAAAAAAATTTTAAAGAAAAAGTGGTATGGACACTTACCTTTGAGACAAAAGCTCTCTGGACCTCATTTGTGGATCTATGCTTTAGAGTCATTTAACATCAAGCAGCGGACCATTGAAGTTATAAGAACTTCAGCTTGGATAGCTGCTCTCTCCTACAAATTTAATTTGAAAAGACTTTGCCACAGTTAAAGCAGTTATTGATGTAATTGCATTTTCCAAAATAAATTTAGATGAGAGATGACTCCGTTATTCCCTGTGATAACAGGAGGAGGGATAGAGGTGCTGCTGGACCTCTTTTTCTCTCCAAACAAATTTAATGATAATGGTTATGTATTATTCATATCATATAAATGTTAACAAGCACCTCCACAGTGTGAAACGCCAGAAAGTGAACGAAGGTTGTGATGGTTTTTAACTGCAGGATATGTCGCAGTATTATTTGAACCTGACGGAAGCAAATCTAAAGGGAGAATCCGACTGGAAGCTGGAGTATGCCCTGACACAGACCTACGGTGTTGAAGACCTGCGGCCACGGAGTTTATACAGACTGGTTAAACAGTTTGCAGTCCTAGACAGCAAGCAGTTCATAAAATACTACAATTACTTCTTTGTGAGTTATGACAGCAGTGTAGTTTGTGATAAGAAATGTAAGGCCTTGCAGATTTGTGCAATTATGAATCTTGATCATACTTCCTACACAGATTGCCTCAAACGATATTATATAAAGCACAGCCACTAGCGCTTTATGGCCAATGTAATGCTCTTCTGTTTCTGAGACCAGTTTGTGGGAAGTGTTAGGGAAAATCTTTGTGAATTACTAAGTGAACAAATGGGATTACTGTCTTTGTTTTCTAATCATCACATATAACATTCTAGATTTTTATTATATTTTATATACTTGACTGCCCATCCATGGAATTATGTTTGGATGTAAATATTCTACCTTACAGTTTATATGATTGTACCTGACTTATACTTTTGTTGAAATTGTTACTCATACAATAATGTCCACTAATAATTTGGATATTAGTGGACATTGGAAATATGCGATGTATTGTATAAACACTGCATTAATACTAAGTCTGCTGGATTTAATAAAGCTACCACACACATTCCTGCATATACACAATATACACATATATAAGTATTATAATAAAATAACATTTTTAAAGATAAAATATAGAAAAGTTTATTTAAGAAAAACTTGCATACTAGAAAAATGAAACAAATTGAAGCAGAAAAAAACAGGAATTATTAAACTACTATAGCTGTCTTTCCCTCCAGTCTGTCATTTGGAATAGGAACAAGATTTGTGAGACTTGAAATTTATACTCCTTTTACTATGGCAAACTCTAAGATACCCATGTCTTTGCTTTGGTTTCATAAGCTTTTCTTAGTTGGTTTAGGTCACTTAATAGAATTGCACATAGGATGCAACTTAACTGTCTTCTTGAAGATTTTTCTTGCTGTACTATTTTAAGCAAACTGTTTTGTCTCTATAAAACAAGGAAGTATTGGATTCTACAGAGCAACATCCTGTTGCCCTTATGTGATCTTTCACATTTTGATTTTTAGCATTGCTTGCAGGTGGCATGTCCTGAGGCAGTCACTTACCATTTTGGTCTTTTGTGCTGCCAGGGATGGGGTGCTGGAAGTACAGGGTAGAATATCCCTGCTGTCCCAAAAGGCCAACTACAAGATCTGCACAGATCATCCCTTTTACTTTCCACAGCTGTTTTCAGTTACTTTCTGAGCATTTAAAATGGATAACGTTGTTCAGCACTGCTTCCTTCCTTTTCCCCATCTCTTTAGGCATTCTGGTCTCTCTGTAAAAGTGGACTAGAAGAAAATATTTCATTTTCCCTTCACATACTAATTTAGCAATGGGTAACCAGAAGGTAAATAGCCATAAGCTACATTTTCCTGGGGCAGAGGACTGCTTCTCTCAGTTTGCTTGGAAGTTTGGCAAGACAAAGAAATACAAGGTTTCTCTTGTGTATGTGGTTGTGTGAACGTATATCATGAAAATTAATCAAATACACTATTTTCAACATTTTTGAAGCTGATAAAATCTGGCAGGCTGTAATAACCAGACTTACCGAGCACTGCTGCAGAAAATATTTTCATAATAACAGTGACCTAAGGTCTTCATCATTTACTTGTGGTTCTTGCCACTATTAAGTCATTGTCACTGGAAAAAAAGGGACTTAGCAACAGGGCGTTTTGTTAGGCTGCTTTCCAGTGAGGGTGTTCAGGCTGACAATCAGCCCTACTGTGTTCTCCTGTCACCCAGGTTGCAACATGTAGGTTTTCCTTTGGTGACCTTGTTTTTCCGGCATCTTACGTATGTAATTGTACAGCTGTTTGTCCTGTTGAATTTGGAAGAGGAAAGGTTTGAACATCTGGCTTTTGTTGCAGATGAAGAAACTCTTTGGGGTGGAAATGATCACCTTAAAAATCTGTGACATTCATATAAGTTTCTGTGGCATTTCCCAAGTGCTGTCGAAATGCTTTGGTTGTTTTCACATCTAGGATTATTTTGTTTGCTTGAATGTGGATGAAAGGGCTTGAGGGAATTTCCAGTACTTGTTCTATCTCTAGAACTGTGTGGTGATAGTTATTCAAGCTTGAAGACACGTAGTTTCATCCTCAGAGAGTAATGACAAGGATTTTCCAGACGCAGGTTTCCCAACCTGCCTAAAATAGCACTTACAACAGAGGCCTCAGTTTATTCTTCTTTTCTGCTTAACATTGATAACTACTTTTCTCCTTTTTATATATTTAAAAAAACTTTTTTCTTATGCCTTTGGGATATTTCCATGATCCATGGCCCTACCATATAAAAATTCCTCAGAGTCAAACTAAAAGCATATTTAAAATTACAATGTTAGTAAAATTAAAACCTGTACTGGAAGACAAATCCTTTTGCAAACCAAGTGATATCTCACTCTTTGCCATCCATAAACTGATAGATTCTTAAAAATAATTTTGGTGGTTAATCTCTATGGGATTTTTGCCATCAATTGAGAAAGAACTCAAGGAATGGATTGGATTTCTGTACTGAAATTAGTTTTCCCCACTATTGCGATTCAGAGGTTCTAGAGAAATGAAATTGTAAGGACAAACTCTCTAATCAGGTTAGTGGTTCCTGGAGTTAGCTCTCTAGTTTGATGAGACCCAAAGTTGTCATAGTCTCTCCTGATCATGTACTGATACTCCACGGTGTGCACTGTTTAAAATAATACACACCATAGATCTATTTGATTATCCTAATTTGCCACTTGGTGGATGCAAGGAAGTTAGTGACTTTATATAACACTCGTGAACATTTTTGGGAGATTAAGAGCTATAATGATGGAGGCTGGCTGTTCTTAGCAACTCTGGACAAACTAGTGAAGGAAAGTAATGAGCTCAAAGATTCGAATCCCCAGACTCAGACAGACATAAATGGTCTAAAGGCTTCTAAGTGTGTCCTGCAGGAGAAGCATCTCCACTGTAATTGCAGGAATGAAGTTGCCACAACCAAGCACAAACCCTGTCATAATGCAGCTGGCTGAACTGCTGTGCAAGTTTACTGCTCAGCCTCAGAGGGCATCTGCAGTTAGTGTGAGGGAACTGATGGGAAGACAATGGTGTCTGTCCTGGGATGGAGATTTTGGGAGGAATCTGGCAGGGTTGAGGGTGTTCTGATGAGATTATTTTGCCAGAGGAAGCGATTTTCCCACCCTCAGTGGCAGAGGAACCCCACCGCACCTCTGGAGTTGCTGGTCTCTGCTCCTCTGCCTGAGCAAATAGCAATGACCTCCCTGCTGCAGTCACCAAGCAAGATGCTGCATCACTCCTCAGAACCTGCCCATCATCCTCACCTTGCCTCTCGGTCTGTAACCAGGCTCAACTCTCAGAAAGCTCCTAAAGCTCCTAAAGTGGCCCAACCCAGGAGGAGGCGTGCTGTACTCTCAGGGAACTTCTGGGGTTCTCTAAGAGTTACAAGCAAAGCTGTGTGTTAACTTAATATGGGATGGATTTTAAGGGTGTAGAAGAAATATAAACCTGGATCAGGGTGAATTTCTTGATAGGGTGCAATTAAGCAGAGATTTTGGATTTAGTGTTGCCCTTTGTCATATTAAAATATTTAAAAAGGTGCAAATAGAATTTCTTCGGTTGGCTAAAATATGGATCAAAAATGGCCCATGGTGAATGAGCTAGAGGTGCCTAATGTTCCTTGGTTTACAGTCAATGGAGGTATTAAAAGGTTCAGGGGAATGGGACTGCTGGAGTGGATTTGTTAGATAAAACTCACTCCTCTCACTGAGAAGGTCCAAAAAGTATACCTTCGCTAAGACCATAAGAAACGTGTAGGGGAGGTCTGGCACCCTTCCAGAGCTCTGTCATTGCTCTCTCTGTGTGGGACTCTACAGTGGAGATGCCAGTCATTGAATTGGGAAGCTCAAATGTCATGGGTATAGTTGGATTGTGGAGTAACAGGACCAGGTGACAGCCCTCAACCACCAATGGCAAGACAGGGCACATCCTGTAATAGAATGCAGTGATTGGAATTGCCTGACTTGTGTAGACCTATGGCAGTGGCTGGTTCAACATGATGTTCCCAGAAGTGAAATAGATAGAAAGCCTACTAATTTTTTACTGGATTTATGTAAGTAGAAACACTTTAGGGCAAGTGAACAAAAATCTACTTCAGATCATAGCAAAAGAGCACCATGGTCTTGAACCCATCCCCAGACTTAAGATATTTTATAGACCTAGAACCCCTTGAACAGCCTTGAGGAGGCTGCATGCCCTTGAGGAGGACACTGATGCCCTTCCAAAAAGTTATGTTGTCCATGTGTTTCCATCCTTCCTCACAGGGACCCATGAATCGGGGAAAAATACATGATCAGACTTTTGGGGTTGTGAGCTATTGCTGATTCCAGGAGATCTATAAGATCAATGTGGTTCTCCAGTAAGAGTAGGGACCTATGGAGGTCAGGTAATCAATGGAATTTTAGCTAAGGTCCAACTCATAGTGGGTCTGGCACATCCATGGATCCATCCTCTGGCCATTTTTCCATTTCTAGAATGTAAAGTTGGGATAGATACACTCAGTGCCTGGCAGAATTCTCACATTGGTTCCCTAACCTATCATGCCAGGGCTGCTATGGTGGGAAAGACCAAATGGAAGCCACGTGTTGCCTCTACAAGGGAAAATAGTAAGTTTAAAATGATATTGCCTCCCCAGAGGGACTACAGAGATGAGTGCCACCATCGAGGATGTGAAAGATCCACAGGTGGTGGTGATTGGCTGTGTTTCTCCAGCCCATTTACTGAGTAACCCAGAAAGCTGCTGGTTTTATGTGGGGCCCAGAGCAAGTGAAGGCTCTGCAGCAGGTCCAGGCTGCTGTCAGGTTTGTCTGACACTGGGACTGTATAATCCAGCAGATCCAGTGGTATTTGAGGTATCAGTGGCCAGTAGGGCAGTGCTTTGGAGCCTCTGGCAAGCCCCCATTGGTGAATCACAGTGGAATGATGAAAACCACTATGAAGCAGCTTCAAGCAGGACTTAAATTAACCAAATGGCTTTTTATGTTTACTTATGAATCTGTCCAAAGCCTAGACCGCTTGTCTGGAAGTGGGTGATGGACTCATAGTAAGTGAACCTCTATGAGTTATTAATTCCTACTAAAGCCTGTAATGGCAGATGAAGTCAGAAAGCCTCAGAGGATAGGACAAGATCATAGTCAAGGACACCTGGATCCACCTCAACTAGATGAAGACTATAGCCTCGGGTATCTCACTCCTGGATGGATTGACTTAATACCTTACTTGGAGAAGTCCTTGAGTAATTCTACCCTTCTTGAGTACCCCCCTCCCTCTTCTGATAACCAAATAAATATGGGCAACCCAGAGAAGGTCTTGTCTTAGCCCTGAGAGAATCTCAAATTCTGTGAGAGGGCTTCGATCCTCCTGGAGCCCTAAATCATTCCATTTGCCTCTTAGCCTTTGCCATACACTTGTTCAGGAGATTGCAGATGTGATCAGCCCAAAATAACTAAGGGATAATATTAACCCAGCAGTAGAAGCCC